AGTTTTAAGCTTTGCAGTGTGTTCCTTCGATAAATATTAATAGATTGTAAATCCTAAGAGACAACGGTTGCGTACTATTTTTCTGACAACGAAAAAAAGGACAAAAATAAATAACTGCACTGCCCGGGAATCGAACCCGGGTCGCAAGAATGGGAATCTTGCATGATACCACTACACCAGCAGTGCTACTTGCAAGGAGTGTTTTCTTTTCGCGGAGATATCGTGCTTGTGAACGTAAATATGTCATTTAAACGGCATTAAAAATCAATGGAGTTTTAACAATACTACGATAACATTGACGCTAATAAACGTAGCGTTTATTGTACCACAGAAATCATTGGAACTCTTCAAGTTTTTATGCATACGAACAATGAGATTACACTTTGACTTTAGGAAAGAGTTAAACGTATGAAACAATTCGTGAGGTGATGGAAAAAAAACGAATGTTTAATGCATGTAGCACTGCTGTGTATGACTCCTTGACAATTTAATTATACCTTCGGATTATATAAAGTGAAGGATAATTGTACGGTTAAGTAACCATCTAAAAGAAGATCAAATAACGAACGGTTAAAAAATCTCGAATAGAAAATTAAGGGAAAAAAAACAAAAAATAAAGGCTGTGCGATGGCCGGGAATCGAACCCGGATCAACTGCTTGGAAGGCAACTATGCTTACCATTACACCACCATCGCACGTGCTAACACTTCCCCTTCTGTGGTCAGAAATTTATTCCACTGACACACTTTCCAGTAACTCGAGCTCAATGTCATTCGTTGTAATTGTATAATTGTTCCTCGTCAAGTTCGCCATTGCAATTTCACAAAGGAAACGCATTGTTAATGTGTCACGAAGTTGACAGTGGAAAACGGAATCGAATTGAATAACCCAGTTTCAAGCTACCTATACAGTACAGATAAACACTGAATTATGTAATTCCTATATTCATTCATTCTGCTCGGTACATCTTAGTATTTCTGATAAATCATCTGTTGATAGACCGCATTCTCCGCCATTTTACATTGTCATTGCGCTGTAACTCTGATTCATTAAATCAGATGACAACGGTTTAACGCAGCATCGAATTACACGAGGATTTCATTCTAAGCAACTCATCGTTATCTGAATCTCCTCGAAGCGAGATTGCATTCGCAACTCTCTCGTTCGTGTTGCAATTTGTCTGCACCCAGTATTTTCCCAGTGACAAATCCTTGTCTCTCCGGAATTCTCGTCGTGCGTAAACGCGTTTCCAGAAGGACTTGCCGCCTCGTTGTTAACCGCAATATCGTCCTTAAACCACAGGTTTTATATTCCTCTGTGAGAAAGTATCTCATTTCGTGGAATGCAGGAAAGACCGTCTCCGTACGTGCTTCCTTCTCGTAGAAAGTATTTGTCATTCATACGGCCGCACTCGGGGAAAATTGTTAATAGTTAACTGCGCGGCGCACGGTGATTTGAATTTGAAATGTCTCCCAGCCGTATCTCGGCGAAAATTACATTCGAATCGGAGAAAAAATTCTTTTTAGCGTTTTTTGCGGGTCAATCAGATCTTCTCCGGTGTATCCATAAATTATTCATGGTCTGTTATAAAATTACCCATTTGCGTCGCTATTAACAGCAACGATGAATTATTTATCGATAGACGCGAGTCTATCGCGATGAAAAAATGCGCTCGACGGTGTTTCACCGCGGGATATTTCGGCTGGTCCCCGTTTGCGGTTTTGCAATGCGGTGCCAGCGGCCGCAATAAATTTTGATCACTTTCATACCATAATTGCATTACGCGCAACTGGTTTACAGTTATGCCTTACGACCTGCTTGTTACATATACATCTCGCGGCGCGTATCACTGTTTATTATGCAATTGGGGAGGCGCCGCCGCTGCTGCCGCCGACGCCGCGCCCGATTCACGAGAAACGTTTTCTTCTCTCCAAGAACGAAGAACCCAGACGATTCGACACAGCGGCAGAAGGGTTCAACAACACTCGGGACGCGTCGTCGACGGCCGGAAGTCGAGCACCGAGTTCTTATCAAGATGTAACCTTTCCGGCATAAATCGTGGAAAAGAGTTGAAGGAACGAGTGTCTCGTTGAAAGAAAAAGTTTGACGAAACGAGCTTGACCCGGCGATGATACTCGAGAGGAATTGAGAATGAGTAACCAACGTAAGATTGACTTCTTCCCCTGTAATTTCTTGTATACCTGCGATCGTTGGAATTACCTCGTCGTTGATAATTTACTAAGAAGAAGGGAGAATTCTGCGTTCGTTCTGTCTACGTTCATTCCCAAAATAAGCGACCAATAACAGAAGAATAAGGTATACTTGGAACTACAGTGAATATAATAGCATTTATTGTTGCTACCTTGGAAATTTGTATTACTACCTAGCACGAGTACTGAAGATTAAGGAAAGGAACAAAGAAAGTAAAAATTTATTGAACGACGGGATCAACGTCGAACGGGACTGTAGAAGAAAGAAGGTACCGTTCCTTTGTGTCCCCTGGAAGAACAATAGAAATAGGTCAAGCGCGACGCAGACTAGGCTGTCAGGTACGCCGTTGGCGCAGCTGTAAGGTCTCTTTGCAAATGAACCAGTTAATCGTTCATTCGCCTTTCATTGTCGCTTTCACCAATTAGAAGTTAGCCGCGCTCGGGGTGGAGGCTTCCCAGTAACCGTGAAAACAGCCTCCGCTCTTAGAGCGATCATTGTGAGCCGCGAAGGGGAGCAAAAATGAAATCGGAGCAAATGGAATGAAGCTTGAAGCACCGGGCAGCCGGCTGCTAAAAGAAACCGTCGGCTAACATTTTAATGTCTGTCGCTACGCGGCCTCCTCCGGCGAGGTTAATTGTCACGAGGGAACTATAGTGGACGAAGACGATGGTTTACAGTGGCCTTAGACACTAAGCCGAGGAATCAAAAATATCACTATCTTTCCAGCACTGAAGACACGCAATTCTGCGAGAATCGCGATACTCCAAGCATTCTCGCAGCCCTACCAACCATATCTAATTAAAGATTCGATGTATTATATCGTGAACCCATAGCTCCGAATCCAGTCAATAAATTATCCAAGATTGAAGATAAAAATTCTAATCGTACAGAAGATCCAGTAACGCAACTAAACATCTCCAACGATGCCATTATAAGATAGGAATCGGTATCGCCGGTTAAAAATCGATGTCAAATGGAATTTCGAGACCGGAGGAGCATAAATTACACTGGTGGTCACGGTTGAGCGCCACCACCATTGCTTCCTCGACAATTTTTTATCGCATACATTAAGATATGCCACGGTAGAAGGCGGACGGGGTGGGGAGCGGCGCGAGTTAGAAAGCCCTAAGTGCCTTTCAGAGGCTGCAGCCGGTAAAGTCGCTCCTCAGTGAACTCTGAGCGGTCGTCGATCGCGGTACTCTCTCCCTCTCGTCACTGGGCTCGGGGCCCATCCGTTCATTCACTGAGGATTCCGGTTCGCAGGGCCCTCGGTCCGTTTCTAAACCGTTTTCGCGTTTCCCGAGACCGATTTCTTGCCTGAACCCCCCGTAAGGCATCACGACACAGGCTCGTACCGACACGAACGCGCGCGACAACGCCGCCGAGCGGCACTGTAAAACCGGAACGCTGTAAAAAGCAACTAGAACGGCCCGTAAACGTTGTGTCGCGTCGCGCGACGCGGGTACTTTTAGCTAGAATCACGTCCTTGTAAGTATGCTTTCTCTTTTAAAAATAGTTCGTCGGAGTTTCGCGGTTGAACGTCCTCGCGCGGATCGGGGAACGGTTCACGTGAAAAGCGTCGACTAAAGGACCATCCGTAGTGTTCGTTTTCCACGATGGGACGTATAGTGTTCTACGGTTGTAGCTCGGAGCATTTGAAATTATAATTTCGCGATTGACCCGCGAAAAAGGGGCGACGATTTGGAAGTCTAATTCGTTCGCAGGGTCTGTTGGAAATCGATGTTCGTAGTGAATGGTCGGGAAACCTTTAACGATTGGCTGCCCTTTTCTTACACGTGGCGACGAAATCGGAGGAGTGCCGCAAATAAAGAAACCGTGGTACGCATTCGAAGAAAGATAAGATAACGAGGCGAAGTCCGATAACGATCCACGATTATGCAGTCGATTCCGAAGTGAAATTCTCGAAGCCGCCGCGCGCGCAAGTGGGTCACAAGCTCGCGCTAAAATCGAATAGGAACCGCGTGAGCTGCCTCTAAAGCAGTTTCACTTGGAAAACCGAGTCACACAACGAAAATCCCGAACGCCGTCTATTTTCCGAAATTCCCGCTAACGTGAGACGCGCACGGTTCCTCGCGCTCGCGTGAAATCACGCTAACGCGAATTCACGAGCGGTCAGCGAGGGTTGCGCAACACTTTCTAAGGTTTTATTTAGACGGCCGTGTAACTCGCGACGCACGAAATCGTTTTTCCTCTTTCCACGGGCCACTCGGGTGAATAACATCTCCGGTTACCTGGGCTTTCCCTTTTCCGAGATGATTCTAGGTTAATTTAAAAGTACCGCGCCGAAAATCACGTGTCACGCGATCAGCTGACGAACGTTCACACGATACGAGCGTGGCTCGATTATTTACAGATCGAAAATCGTTTTAGTGCTTCGCGAACGTTACCGGTGAATCATAATCCACGGAGAAAGGAAACTGGACTGTCGCGGATAAATGCTCGAGAAAGTGTTGAACATGTGTCTCTGTCGGACGAGCGAACACGTGTTGCTTGCATGGGTCTCGTAACTGTATCCTAACTGCGAGAAGTCCCGAAAATGCGTAAAACGGCCGGCAACCTCTGCATCGTGCGGCCACGTTGAAAGATCGATTTGAAACTGGAACGTGCGATGATCCACGGATAATGGAAATGGTGAGGGACAAACCACGACGGCGAAGCGTGAGCGAGATGCTCGACTGGAGGTGCATGGCCAGGAATAAAGGAGCAACCGGCGCGGACGAGGCCGGCACCGACGTGCCCTTCGTCGAAGATTACGACAAGGACCCGGAAATGCGCCGCCGGAAACGTTCCGGTACATGGCCGTGAGTAATGACTTTGAAACATTTTGGAAAGCGGGAAGAAAAGTCTCCGATGATTGCACTTTCACGGAAAGAATCATTGCTCGACGTAACAGCCCTGACCTCTCTTATGTAACTATCGTAGTTGCGATAATAATGTAATCTAGATAGACGTTATCTAGCGACGAAGAACTCTGCTATTACGTTAGTGAAAATTTTCCTATTGTTTCTTTTTTTCTTTAGTAACAGTCGCAATTGTGCTTCAACGCAGTTCTGACTCTGCATTGAATCTAGGTAAGAGGTTACACGTGTGTTTAAGTTTTGTACTTTTTAAATTCATTTCTTTCCTCTTTGTGGTATGAATTGTGTATAGATGTGGGTCGGCAGTAACCCTGTGTTAGACTGGTATGGTACTGTTACTGTTTGTCTGAGGGTTAAAATTCCGGTATGGTTTGGTGGCTAGGAACACCGATTTTTGAAAAATGTACTTACTGAAACTGATGGTAATCTTTGATGAACCTCGCACTCATAGGAGAAATATATTTCACTGAATTCCGGTATGATCTTTGTGGCTAGGAATAACGCTCTTTAAATAATGCATTGATTATCGAACTGTCGATAATCCGTGCCCAATTTTCCACACTTTCGAATCTCATACTTCAAGAAAATCCGGTATGGTCTAGTGGCTAGGATACCTGGCTCTCACCCAGGAGGCTCGGGTTCGATTCCCGGTACCGGAATTTAATTTTTCGTTCCGGTAACAATTTTTGTTTTCCCGCGCATCGTGAAGCGATTCGTTCGTACCTTTAGCTAGGATGTTTAAAGGTAGGATTATTATTTTTCCATATATTTCATCAATTGAGATTAGCCTCTTCGACGCTGTGTCGAAAGAGGGAGTAGTGGGAGTAAGTTCGCAACGGAATGAAAAGTAAGCCGAACCGACGGAGCTATACAGAAACCAGTCTACCGTCGTTCAATTTCGTAATTAAACTGGAACCGCGTAATCCGATTCCCATTCGTGCGAAACTTGAGCGAAGTCATTTTGCTTGCTCAACATTCCTGACGCCTGGTGACACATCCTGCCTATAAAAACGGTTTGTTGTCTTATCAGACACGTTCCCTCGGCAATCTATTCAACTGGCTGGTGTTGTTCCTCAAAACTAGTTCTCCCCTCGCTCCATGTATATACCTATCTACAAAAACAGAAAAAATATACCTGCAATACTTAACTCCTATATATTCTAATGACTCTATTTCAACATTCATTCCGATAATCCTCGAACGGTACAAGAATAAGCAAATCACCACAAACATTATTCACTTTCCCTGTAAAATCTAATATTATGAAATTAATAATATATACATGATACATAGCAACTGATAGTTACAAGATTTCTCCAACAGTGAAATGAAAGAAAAATTCCGAAGGCGCATACCTTGAAATTTCCGAAGTGTCTGCGCAATTGATCATTCCCTGCTATCGGACACGCGGCCGCTCATCCGCGACCCCGCGGATTATCGCATCGAAAAACGCAGTTGCGTAAAACGGGGTTAAATAAAATCGGTTAGAAAATAGACGGCGGGCGCCGCACGCGATACCATTGATTGGTCGTCGGCGGGGCAGGGCATGCGTGCAAGAGTATCGGGCGTCGCGACGCCGCCAACCGTCGACCCGCCTCATGGGCAGCTCCCCGCGAGCTTCTTTCGTTAATTCCGCAGTGGCGAAGCGTGACTTCCATATCCCGGGTTACGTGGCCGCTCCGCTACCCGTACGACGCTATTACGGGCCCGCAGAATCCCGTTCGACGATCGGCGCCCATGGACGAGGATGAGTTAAGGTAGGGCACGTGTTGGTTTGCGAACCCCGCGGAGGATAACCTCAATCTTCGCTCCGTAACATGTGCTTCCATTGCTGGCCGACGTTATATTCCTACCATCGGTGCACTGCTCGCAAATAAACGGTCCTGCAACACAAGAGAGCGAGACTGTGAAGTGAACTGAATACTCGGTTGGAAACATGCAGTTTAAAATTTCATCTGCTACAGCGTGCATCGGTGTAGCCTACATGTACACATATACACACGACCACGTCCAGGCCGCAGTGTTGTCTGGAATTAATAATCAATCCCCATTGAACATTCCAATCGACTAATCCGTGTTACAAGGTCGATCGTGATCAACTCGTGGACACCGACCGGTGGGAGGGGAATATTTACAATACGCAGCCTGTAATAAATTCAAACTACCGTGTGCCTGTACGACCAGTGCGCGAGGGACTTGGCAGACGTCGCGGGTATCGCTAGCGAGTATTCATACCGCTAATTTATTTGCAACCGTGCCCCATGGACCGCACGTTATTCGTTCAACATGATTGTGACAGTTTAGGCGGCCGGTAAACAACACCGTGCACAGCGCGCGCCTGTGTGTTTTGGCATCGCTGCGCGCCCGCGCGCACGCCTGCTAACAGGGTCGAGTGGTACCTGCTCGAATAGCGAGCGGAGCACGGGCGGGAGAGACGTTTTTTGTTGCTCCTTTCTTCGAGAGAGACCGAGAACGCGTTCACCTTTCGCCGTGCATTCCATCCGGCTCGGGCCTTTGCTCGGGGAGCGCCTTGATGGCCCATGGGGCTCCCGTAGGCCCCGTAGCCATGGCGCGCGCCCCCGTTCCTCCGCGTTCCACGGAATCTCAGAAATTCCGCGTCGATGCAATCGATTACCGAACCGGACGGCCGATCGTTTTCTCCTTTCCAGATTGGATCGCCGCTGCTGCGCGACGAAAATTGCCGGTACCCAGAGACGTAGCTTGACGCTTTGGAGCCCTAAGCAGTTGAGGATCCCATTTAGCAATCCTCTTTCTTCTGATGAATCCTGTTGTCGCGAACATTAGAATTCGTAGCTCTTGCACATCCGAAAGCTGTCTATTAGGTACATACAGCTTTCTGGACGGTTTTGTAAATTCTCTTCGTTGATCAATCGCGATCTTCTATACTCCAAAATAGTATATTCTCTTTGATAAAGCGACCCTACAGCAGCATCTCACAGAAATCTCTCTTTCTCTGTGTTTCCCAATCGATCAGGAGAAAGTCAGTTAGCGGGCCGATCGAGCGAAACCGGAGGAAAAAAGTTGCCTAATACGTTTGGAAACATTGTCAAAGCGTCCCAGCGCTCCCCGTCCGTCTGCCAACCGACTTTCCGTACGGTGTTTCAAAGTTTACACGGGGAACGTGACACAATTGGTCCGCGTGTAGCCAGCACACAGGCTCGGACCAGTGGAAGATTTATCGTGCGATAAGACATGACATAATCGTGCATTGTTGCGTAACTACGGTACTGTTAGCACCGACATGAACCCGTGGGGCTACGGTGTACCGACCGTTCCGTAGGAAGAATCCCATGATTGTCGGCCAGCTGCTCCGATCGTCATTCCACGCGCAGCCAGCTCGCGATTCGGACAGTTTTTGTGCTCCCGGGGGCACTTGCGGGATTTAAATCCCTGTTCTTGGGGACTCGGATAAAGGGATCGTCCTCGAATCCGCTCGGGAAAAGGTAGCAGTGAGGTGAAAACGTTCGCGGTGTGCGTGCGCGCGGAAAAGTGAGTCGGTTTCCGCGAATCATTTCCGGCGGATCCACAGGAAACGTCGGTTGTGCGCCTTGGCGAGCAGCTTTCCGGTTGGATTGACGCGGACAATGCGGAGGAATTGATGCTGCCAGCGCGTCGCGCGTCCGTCCGTGCTGGATTACCGACGCCGGAGTTCAAGGTTGCTAAATTGACGCTTTGAGATATGCCGCCCGTCATTGAACGTGATACGTTCCTCTGAGAACGTCCGACCGGAGGAATCCTTCGCGCGATCGTCACCGGCCGGATTATTTCCAAGGAAAGCGTTGATCCTTTTTGATCGAGGATACGTTCTTCCGTTCGAGAAGTTCATTCGAGGATCATCAGGTGCACCAGGTTCATTATCAAACAAACACAAGCGTTATCGCGGGTAGAATGATAACGAAGCAGAACATAACCATAAAAAGCGGAGTCTAACATAAAGGGACACTCGAAGACGATCTAGCTTTGATGAGTCTTCCACTTTGAACAATCGATTCCGATAAATGAATGAAAATAAAGAGGCGGCTTGCAATGTTCCGAGTGTTTGTTCTGTAAATAAAGATTATCGGGCCAGCAACGTACATAACGGACGCATGTTGTGCGATATCATCGTTGCCAATCATCGTTGGCTGTTACGCGAGGAAAAGAGACGATTTCGATAGAAGAAGTCGCTTCGTCGGCGGATTCTTCAGATAGTGACGGATCGCCGATCGAAATCGTTCCTCGATTGCGTAACGAAGAGCGTTCAGGCAATTAACATAGCTGCGCCTTGGACATCGCGGAGAAATTTTGTCGAATGGCCCTCGCGACGCTCACCTGAACCGCCGAAGGAAACAATCGAACCGTTGGCCAAGCTTTCCTGTTGTGTATCCACGGAAAATGACTGACCAAGTGTCGCCGTTGCTGGACGTACGAAGCAACGGGCACCACGACGCCTGCACGAATGACGTCGACGGACCGATCAAGTCGTCGATGGAGAATGTTCTGCGGAACAGAGTGCTCAGGTAGTCAATTTTTTCATCAAAGTGCCGCAGGTGAAGTTGCGACCAGATTTCGAATAACTACTCGATATTTTCCGCTTGATCGATGACACGCTGCAACCTTTGACACTGTGAACACCTCTAATTAGCCGTTGCGTTACTTGCGTTGACGCAATGCCGGATAATTGATATTTTCCTTGTACCGTGTGGAAAATTTACCGTGCCGTGATTGATACGCAATGGTGTTGTAACGTCTTATCGAACATTGTTGATTCGCATCGAGTGTACACCTCGATTCTCTGATACTTCCTTTGATGTAGACACTTATTCGAACAGAAATCCTCGCAGTCTGATACTGAATGTTTAACTTACACTTCCTTAGAACTTGGAAGTTCAGTTGACACACTGCACGCCGGCCCCGCGATAATGCGGTATTTTCAGTCTATCACTTGACAACCGGTCCCGCGATATTGCGGGATCTTTTGTACATCGATGTTGATTTATAAATTAAAAGTGTCGGTTTTGTTAGATCTTCTGATTATCGTCGAAATGTATATGACGAATGTTCAATGAAAATATATTATTTCACGAAAATCTGTAAGTTTTCACCATTTCTTTGAGCTGCTCGTTGTTCAGATACAAGCGAATGAGGCCGGCACTCAGGCTTTCAGTGACCGATATTTAACTGGCGTGCAACGTGTTAAAAGAACCTTGATGATCGAACGATTATTACGTATCTTAATTCCTCGGCACAAATTCTCAATTCCTCTCTTATGCGCATTTTATGCATCTCTCGCTCGAATTTACCAAAACTCGTTATCTCCTTGTCAAACGCGTTATGTCGCACTCTTGTTCTTCGTTTCGGTTGTCGCACGACCGGATCGACGTATCTTTTGTTAGGTCTTACCAGCATTATTATAATAATTATTCCCGGTTCTTATCAGCCTTTAGTATAATTATTTCTTACGCAAGATCTTGAAGTCGCACGTTATTGATGGCACGAGGTGTATCATCGATCTCTCGTTTCTAACTAATCGAGGTAGGGTCTTCAACCTCAATGACTAATCGATTTAGAACGATCAATATTCATTGAAACCGCCATTAAATAATGTCACGCAGGAAACCTTGTGCGTTGGAATAGACGAAGGAGGGGGTTGCATGCATATTCACGCTCCGCTGATTGCACGAACTCGTAAAATATGGATGATACTCGCCGGTACAACATTTCAGCGTGTAATCTGACGTCCGCGCGGCCGCGCGTAAGCACTTTTCTGTTTGAATACGTAGAATCTACATACATGCACGTGCGAACGGCAACGTCATCGATAGATCACCGCTCGATCGATCTCGCGAAGAACGCAGCTGCATCGCATGTTGCACTTGTTGCATCGGTGCCCACTGCTCATTACCCTTTCAAACGTTCTCGCCATTACTCTTGTAAATGAACAAGCATATATCTAGATAAATATGGAACTTTAACCGGCTAGATCGTCATTAATCAGCAATTATATAATTCTTATCTTTTCCCTGATACCATTGGTCTAGAAGTTTCGAGCATAAAACGTGATGTTAAAATCACGTTAACTTCGAAGAAACCTGATCGTCGTCCATAGTTTGACTGTTCGTATCACAAATAATTGCTTTCAATTTTTCATATAAAACTGTGATGTTATGATATTTGTATGATAGAATATTTACGATATGAATCCACGTCATGGATTTGCGATATAAATCCAGTGTCTTACGTTTAACACGAAAATCCAAGCATGGTTCACAATGATACGCGATTAGAAATAATCCTTTGAAGCACCTTCGAATTGAAAATGATTAAGAAACCAACGACTGGGTCTCTTTCACCGTCCACAATCGTTTAACCCGGCTTCCTTTGCTCACTTTGCTAATGCCGACACAATTGCCGTTACAATGTATCACAGATTGATTCGCATGCGTCCGCCATTATGTCGGCCGGAGGACTGCGAGCAATCTTCTTCTTTCGCTTTTGTCCGTGAATCTTCCTCTGAAAGCTTCCGTTCGCGACGCTCAAGGAAGTTTTATCTTTTATCTCGGCGGACGAAACGAAAAAAACAAGAAGAAAAAAAGATGAGCTGATTTATGTTCTAATCGGTATGTTTCTGTTTCCAGGAGAACGCGAAGCCTGAACGCGCCCAGTCCCATTCAGCAGTTCGGCCCGTGCGGGCGTATTATGAAAAATTCCGCGATGGTCATGTAAGTAGACCTTCCTCCTCTCTCTCTTCTCTATTTTTTTCCGTTGTTTTCATCGAGTGTGTTTGTTGATCTTCGCCGGACTACCGAGAATTCGGTTTCCACAAAAAACCGCGCCGTCTCGCAGAGGATATCCGCGGAACGATCGATACAGCTATCGTCGGGGAATGTTTTCCCTGTTTGGCTTTTTTGCTCAGGGTGAAAGCACCTATTAAAAATTAATGCCTTCCCGGTTTTCCTTGTTCACCGTGGGATTGCCGATAATAAAAGGATTTGTTGTAATGAAAATTCAACAGACTTTTTATACGCCCGATAAAAAACCGCTGGAAATTTGTAATTCAAACTTTTATCGGCCGCGTTTACATAAAAATCCTTGTGTTCGGAACTTACGGAGCATAGAGGGTCGTTAAAATTTCACTCGAACAATTCCTTTTCTTTTTCGTTTCTTTTTATATGTTCAATGCTATTCCTCGGAATGAACGGATAAGTCAATGTGCACGAGCTAAGTTTCTAAGAAACGAGATTTCGTTTGTCCGAAACGAATGGCTGGAAATAGAAAACTGACTGATCGCGTGGACCAAGATCCTCTAGAAATCCGGGCGAGGTTTCGGAGAAGAAATCGGCATCCCAGCACTCTAGTTCTTTCGACGGAAGAATAATTGGTTGTTCTAGTTACGGTTGCACTGTAGAAAGTCACACAGAACTATCACGACGACAACGTAGAACTCTGTTCGTTTTATTAGGGATGCTTTGCGGCGTTTATCGTAAGTTTCCGCGTCAGAGGAAAGCGTGCGGTTTCACACAGAATCGGCGGCGCGGCACGCGGTAGCGTCGTGACATGGCCTGATTATCATGACAATGACTCCTCGGGCGAGTCCAAGGAAGGGTTTATTAGCATTTAATGAAAAATACCTTCATAAATCTTGCACCAGGCAGGACATTTCACTGTGAGCAATAGGATTCAAGAGAAATTAATATACTGCTTTCTAATACGAATACGTTCGGGAATATCCAACATATTATCGTGTAATTTCACGAAATAACAGTGCCGAATTAAAATTGACTAGTGGCTTCTCGTTCAATATAATTACTCACGTTCGCAACAAGTCGTAATTAACTGCTTCAAATGGGATTATGTTCACACTTGCACTGAAACTCACTTATGTTACTACCGAATATTTCGGAGTTCGAATGAAACGTTAGAATTTGAACTTTCGTCATATTAAATCAGCTATGCAGGCTTTCTCCATTCGCTGAATATTGTGACGTAGAATTTGTCCTCAATCTGAATAATTGATGAAGCTTTCTACGTAATTTGAGGAAAAAAGTGATACCGAATGAATAAGAATTTCATTTGTACATTGTGCACATAAAACGTTCAAAGTTCGCACTAAATAAATGCACTTTCCAGCCTCGTGTAAATTCTATTGGTCTCTCCACCATCTATTATGGTCACTTAGGTAAATGAGTTCTACGCTTTATATAGATAAGGACACTTCCGCGTCAGTATTTACGATTATTTTATTTTATCAAGCTAAGTGCTTGTATCTGCGCACGGAATACTATTATATTTCCATTATGAATAACCATTAACATCCGCCCCGGAATTGTTGTAATCTATTACGACTGAGTTATACAGCAAATAGCATCGAATTTCATTAACGGGCGTTCCTTCGCGAACGTTGATTAACGGACCAACTCGCGTCCGTTGTCAAACGATCGGCAAACAATTATTAAGGACCCGCGGGAAACTTCGAAGAAGTTTGCCTGCGTTTCACCATAATCGCTATTTGCGCAATCTCCTCTGTGTACGTTCCGTTTGCGCAGCCTCCACATTCTTCTCCACTTTGCACGATCGTTTTCGTGTTTTCCCTTCCCACTTTCACGACCTAGGAAACGTCGTTTCAATAGCAACAAACAACACTGCCTTCGACGTTCTAGCCACATTTCACCCAATAAACTAAACAATTCAATCTTTCACCTCGCTTCCTGTCACCATCGCACCCGATCGTAGAACAATCGAACAACAACCTGTGAAATGATCGATCGTCGTCGTTAAACGAAACGCGACGATAATAAAAGCATTCCCGAAGATATTCCTTCGACATATTTTAATTCTTATCGCAACGAATTGTAAACTGCGTCCTCGCTTTTACGATTCGATGCCTTATGCAATCGTACAGTTTTTACCGGCATTACTAGTGGCGACTGCAGAGATCAAAGGTACGAAATCGGGATCCCGAAACCGGACTGGACATTCGTTTAACTCAGATAAAATTCCGTGCACGTGAAAACTTAGCATTTACACGTTGCCCGGGTACAATCGTTTCAACGTGACATAACGCGCGAGAATTCATCAGAACAAGAAATCATAGGTCGCTGATAGAAAGCGGTGATTCTTTGCCGTCGGTACCAGAGCGCGGTTCGATCGTATCAAACGTACTTCGATAGCCGGGTCAACAAGTGTGCGTCCACACCGCTGAAACAAATGCACGTGAATCACAGTTGCGCCTCTGCCCGTGTCGACCGCGGCGGAGCGGGGCGCGGCGCGGCGCGTTATTATTCGCATAAAAACGAATCGCGTGCATACATACTTATATACACGGAGCGCGCTTGCGCGTCGTCCGATTGTTTACCGTTAAAAAACGTACCGCGGTGTTCGGTCCACGTTCAGTGCGAGCGCGACTCTCAATCCGGTACCACGTCATGGTTGGAACTGTCAGGTAGGCTCTCCGCGATCAAATCACGCGTTCTCGATCACGGTAGCGAATCTAATCGTTCGAGTATTCTTATCGTAATTAGATCTACGAAGAAAACAAACGTTTTCCGTCAATTTTTCAAGAAGAACCTTGTAAACGATCGATCATCCCTTCGCGAATCGCCTGACATTACAGATCGAAATATCCTTGTTCGCAATTTAATGGCATCGCCATTGTTCCTCGACAGTGTTATCATTCTTTTTTCCATTTTTCATCCGATGCGATCGTACCCCGTGCAACCTCGGAAGGAATAACTTAACATAATTAAACAGAAGCCGAGGCACCGTGACGATCGTTAATTGTTGAAATCCTACTACAGGCAAATAGAATCAATTACCGACCGACTACGGAACCCCGACTTCCGTTTCTCTTCGATTTAATTTAATTAAATCGCTCCCCAACCGCGGCGGACATTGATTCTATTTGCTTAGAATACGATTCCAACGATGTCCGGCGCCCATTCATGGGCCCCATGCATGCATTATGCATCGTTGATCCCTTCGCACCTTTGACCTCCCGCCCCAACCCAGTCGGCCGTAATTCAGTGATACACCGCCATGTTCGTGTGTCAAAATCGTCGCACGCCATAGGAACGATAATACAAAGAATATTAAATAGTCCTCGGCCAACGAGATTACAATTTACAATAAGTCCATCCGTGCCTCGCCGGAATCCCATATAATCGATATCGAGCAGCGATTCCACCGCAGAACCGACCGCCGCGACCTTAATCGCGGAAGATTCCATTTAATCGCTCACCGACCTCTGCCTCGCCATTAATTTTCATTATTTCATAACACGCGGTTGTCCGATGCCGATCGAATTTTCCTTTGGCTTCCACCTCGCTCCGCTGGTTCCCTGTCGAGATGAATAATCTCGGATCGTTCACCGTGGATGTTGACTGGGACGCGATCGTTGAACGGGCCTCATGGCTGTTTTATTGTAGGACCATACAGGACCCAGCCTCCCAGAGGTTGACGTGGTACAAGCCGCCGCTCACTGTCCTGGTCATCAAGAAGGTCCGTGATTCGTCGGTGTTGCCGCCGTTCGTCCAATTAGTCACATGGCTGATCGAGGTAAGTTTAATGACGCGAGAGAAACCTCTAGGTTCGAATCGATGACCCGAAGAGTTCGAAGGAAGAATGTTTAACCCTTAACCGAATCAATTAGAATCAAATGAAGTTTATTTAATCGTCTTCCTTCTAATTGTTTATTTCTGTCATTGTCTGCTTAACGGAAAAATGGAACTATTCGATTTCTGAGCTGAAACGAAAGCAGCTTGGTACTTTTCGATCCGGAAAATACCCTTGACACTAAATCGATCAACTGTTAAGTTAGTAATTTAAAGACAAAGCTGCTTCGAAAACTTGTTCCTGGAATATTTGTACATCAATTCGTGTCTCGAAACTAAAAGATTTGTCTAAACACATCGTAATATCAATATTATACGTGCAAGCGTTTAGACTGCTAACGTAACAGTCAACGTACACGCTGAATTGACTTGAATGCTCAGTTACGAAAGCGACGTTAACAATCTACAATGTGAGAAAAAACTGTCAAGATGCATTGCAATTAATCTCGACGGATAAGGGTTAATTTCTTCCGGGAACTCTTACCGCGTCTCTCGGGGCCAAGCGGCGTGCGGTTTTTCGTCTCTCTTGGCTCGCTCGTTCGCGGACAATGAAATCATCCCGGTGGGAACGCGATCGCGGCGTCGGGTCTCATTAAAATCTGCACGCGGCCGATGTTCCGGTTGATTTTCCTTGACGCTGAACGCTGCGCAGCGCGGCTCGTTCCTTCGATTTATCGATTCAGCATGACTATAAGTTTCAGTCAGGTGCTTTTATTCAGCGTCCAAGTTTTTCCGCGTACGCTCGTGCCGGGGCGGCCGAGCGTCGGGTTTTTCTGAATGTTTTATATGCCATCGATCAGCATTTGCGTCACGTTCTACTGCATTACTTTACTATTTTACGCAACATCGATTCAGACGCCGCGAGAAATCGTCGTTCAGAGATCGCGAATGTTTCGCAGGAGAAACGGATGGTGGTGTTCGTCGAGGCGTCTGTTCTGGAGGATCCCGCGCTTGCTAGGGACCCTAGGTTCGAGGGGGTCCGGGACAGGCTGCAGACGTTCAGGGACGGTACCGATGACCTGCAGGTGATTATTCGTTGCTTCGTTCTCTGCTAGAGAATCTTGATAAATCAGCATCGTTAACCCTCTAGCCGCGGGAACTTTGCCTGAGTTATTTAAAAATTCTAATGTCGACGCACGCTTAGAACCGCATTTTAAATGCTCTACTAAAATACTCGACTGTAGAGCGTTAATAATAAACGTACGCTCCTTATCTCCATTTTTGCAAGTTAAAGTTATTACGAACCTTGAATGTTATTTGCTAATTGTATTTCCGTTTTTTTTTACAAGCCAAAAAACATTGTAACGATTCCTATAGATAAAGAAAATTTGTAATTACTAACCACAAGCGAATCTAGTCTAAACACGTTAACGTATCGCGTATGTAAAACGCTAAAGCGGAAAAAGTCAGAAATTAAAGTTGAAAACTTTCCACAAGCGTATGAAATACTTGCCGATTTTCCTCTAATCGATTACTTTTTCCTCCGACCATTCCGGCGACTTCTTAATAGCATAAACATATCTTTATTAATGACGTCAGTTTTTTTTGTTGTAAACAACCTTTGGTTTCTACCAAAAAAATCAAGATGATTAGCGGAAAAACATCGTCGAGGATCAATGGTCAAATAATAATTCGATTAATTATTACTTCAGGATCGCATCGACTTCATCGTCTGTCTGGGAGGCGATGGAACCCTTCTTTATGCGAGCCTGCTCTTCCAGCAATCGGTACCGCCCGTGATGGCGTTCCATCTGGGCTCGTTGGGATTCCTCACACCCTTCGAGTTCGACAATTTTCAGGAACAAGTGACTAACGTCTTAGAGGGTGAGTAAAAACACTAATGTTCCCGTCTTTCTCAACTGTTCGCATCACGGTAGACAGAACGGCCGCAAACTTCCGGCGTCTTTAGATACTTTCACGTTTTTCCTTGATCGATATCGCGAGACATACATAATTGTGTAGGAGATAATTGAATATCGCAACACTGTTCGCCCAGTTCTATGTTAACTTCACACTTTACCCAAGCAATTATTGTTTCGGAAACAAAACTACCGCTTCATCAAATTCCATTAAGTCCATTGTATTTCGATAATCGACACGTATTTATTAATCGAACGTCATTCCTGTTGAATTAACGAAAAGAGTCTTAAAACCTGAGGGTTAATCCTTTGAAGCCAAACGTCACCATAGTGGTATAATTCTGGCACAGCAATGCCCGGTTTCTTTCTCGTCTGATATTTCAAAATTCGATGAACGAATTAGCTTCTTATAAAAACAGCTTTCGCAAGGTTAAGTTTCCATTCACACCCCTTCGACATAAGGGATGTCTGATATAAGAAAGTACATCCTCAAATACTCCAAGAACCACTTCCCACTCGAATGTCATCAGAACCTTCTACGACTTCACAATTTTCCTCTAACAGGTTCAAGAAAATCATCTGCGTCATTAACGCGCGAAACCCTCGCAATCCTCCACCTCGGTCAAAGAAAAACAGAGGGTCGCTAGACTATCTGTCTCCGCCGCGATAAAATATCACCTTGTCATCGTGAGACTCGCCTGACAAACAAAAAATCGCAAGCTTGACGACACGCCCGTGGTTTCCTCTTCGAGCGTTAGAGATAATATCACGAAATCGTGGAAGGGAAACGGAGGAAGACGCGTTGACGACTCTGCCGAGAAAAAGGGAAAGCGAACACGAGAGTTGTCGGTGATTTCCGGGTTGTCGCGGCGCCACGACGTTTGCAGAATCACCCGACGGGTCTGATCTCTGTGTTTAGGTCACGCGGCCTTGACCCTGAGGAGTCGTCTGAGATGTATCATCATGCGGAAAGGAGAGGAGGGCAAACCGGCCAAACCGCCGACGAATCTGCTGGTGCTGAACGAGGTCGTGGTCGATCGCGGTCCTTCCCCATACCTCTCGAATATCGACCTCTTCATCGACGGGAAACACGTGACCAGCGTGCAGGGTGACGGCCTGATCGTGAGCACGCCGACCGGGTCGACGGCGTACGCCGTCGCGGCCGGGGCCAGCATGATTCATCCCTCGGTACCTGCCATCATGATCACGCCGATCTGCCCTCACTCATTGTCCTTCAGGCCGATCGTCGTGCCCGCCGGCGTCGAGCTGAAGGTATTTACGAGTTCTACTTACACCTTCCGGTGAAATAAATCCTGGTGACAAGTTCACCTGGACGGTCGACAGATAGGGGACGCATAATTGGCACTCCGAGTCCCCTGGAAACTAGTAAACATGGTGCTCATTGCTGAGTCTGTTTGAAGATACTCTACGATCTATGAAAATTCCTTTTAGAACGCTTGTTCTTGTTTCGAACAGCTGCCAATACCTCGAGCACTTAAAAAAGGATTCTGTTTAACTTCCTGCTGTAAACTGTGTCAACATTTAGCAGAGATGATCGCGCAGTTCTAATCTAATTATAACGCCGATAAACGTATAATGGATGATTGTTAGAAAAACAGACGAGGATACACAGTGAGCGACCATGTTAATTGAAACTCCTGCGTATAGTAAGGACGCTGCAGCGTGCGCCAGTTGCACATGCACGCGTCTCAGTTAATCCCGGTTCAAGCGTATAGTTTGTCTACGCCCGGTCGTGGTATCGTAAAATATCAAAACGCTCGAGAAAGTCCTCGTCCCGGGGCCCGGCATCGAAACTGTGTCAAACGACAAGAAACCGCGGAACCGCGGCGGGTTTCTCGCGTTTGCGCGAGATATTTCCGTGTGGGTCAGCGGAGAGGCTTCTTATCGGTGACATCGGGATCGCTGGCCCCGTGGCGTTGCCCCCGTAGAAGGAAACTTGGTCCCGATGGATGACGCCCGCATTCCCAGACCGTGCGTGCGCCGCCACCTCGCTCGCCGTTTCGAAAAGTTTCGACACGGCCTGGAGCAAGTGTCGCAAAGGCGTGCCCATGTGTCCTGTTCTCTGCGACCACGGGAAAAGCTCTGAGCTTTATCGATCAGCGTTCCGACTCCATGGATGAGTGCTTGGAGGTAACGATATGGTCGAACGTGGAATGGTTGAGACATGTTTGGATCGGTCTAGGTCCATTGGTTTAAAAAAGAGCAGACAGGGAATGATGCTTGGCACACTGTGCGAGAAAGTTCCTAAATTTTCAAAGCACTAGTTGAATGATAAAAGGAACTTGTGCTTTAGTGTTCTATGATGATGGAGAAACGATAGTTTGACCAGTGTTATGCTAAAGGGATGCCTAAAGCCATTGAAGATTGATGATAATCTCGGATTGAAGACACTAGCTGGTCCAAAAACTCCCAACCTAGCTATGTCGTTACCTCAAGGCTACAGTTTGCGCGCGCAGGTAACAATTAACCGTTGCTACCTTTCTACCACAGATCTCTGTTTCACCGGACAGCAGGAACACCTCGTGGGTGTCCTTCGACGGTAGAAATAGACAGGAGCTCTTCCACGGCGACAGGTAAACGTTAACTTCTTAGTCAGACTTGTCTAATCGTCGGCATTTTTCTCGCAATTATTCCAGATAATGGCAAACAGCAAGGCCCGTAGCACAGCTTACGTCTCCTTCGACGGTCGTAATCAGCAAGAGCTGCGCGTCGGGGATAGGTCTGTTCAGTTATCTCGTAAAATGAACAAAAAATGAAACAAGAAAAACGTCTTTCGTCTCTTCTATCTGTACCCTCATAAATATGCAGTTGCAGGACACTGCAATACGGTTCATTTATTGCTCAAATCGCGTCTCTTCTCTTTACATAATCTGATCTTCGCCTGTTCTTGGTATAGGTTCTCTCGGGTGGCGCGTTTCATAATACTTCCTCCGTGTTTGCTATCATTTACTTGTAACACATCAATTCTCACTCTTGCTGATTAAAGCCTCTGCGATTAAAATCTCCTTTTCCTATGCGCTCACACGATTCACTTTCTCTCTGTTATCTATCTTCGATCATCGAACGTCATCTGTCCTCTAAATTCTATTCTTATTCCGCTCGATCGCCCCGCCACCGACTAAACGTTTCTCCGTTGGTTTCAGTTTGAGGGTGACCACGTCCATATACCCGGTGCCCAGCATCTGCGCGGCCGACCAAATCACCGACTGGTTCGACTCGCTTGCTGAGTGTCTCCATTGGAACGTCCGGAAAAAACAGAAACACCTGGACGAGCTGAGCGATCTCACTCACTCGTCCAGCAACGATACGCTGGACTCGTTGGACCGCGACAGCTAGGAGACAGCGCGCCGAGACCGGCACCGACACGTGAATTTCCAGACCGTCGTCATGGGTTCGGAGTCCGCACAAGGGACCGGTGACTCGTCGCAGAAATCGCATCGTTCGTTCACGCATAAACCGCAAGCTCCGGATCGTTCGATCGCGCGTTTACACGTTTACACGTGCAATTAGCGGCCATCGCGGACACTTTGACCCTCCAGCTCTCTCGTTCACGTGCTTATAAATTCGAATGATAATGTTTCTAAACGGCGGATGACTCGCAAGTTTCCTGGCCATTGTTTGCGAAGGTATCTTTCCGGGAACGCGTTTAGAGACAACTTGATTCTACAGTGCATCTAGAACTATTTACGGAGATTGAGCAAATTTGCAGAGGCATCGAAGAATTGGGCTAAGTGTACTCTAATTGTTTTAGTGACTCGACCTCGCGGATTTTCTGCATTTATCGCATTTTTCGTTTCTCTGCGTAGCAGTACTTGTTCGATAGAGAAGACGCGTTCTTTTATACTAATTGAAACTCGGTTCTTTGCATCATTTTTGTTTAGTACCAAATTGTGGAGGAAATGTGATCCTTTAAACATTGAATTCTGCATGAAAATTCGCAGTCCATTGGTGCAAGTTTGAGTGTAATTGTTGAGTTGCCTTCTACCTTGAATTGATTATGATTGAGGTTATTCAAGTGAGTTACATTTAATGGTTACAGAGTATTTGCAACTGAATTAACGGTTACGTTCCAATCGCTATTATGAATATTAGATGGAATTACATTTCGTCCAACTTTTCGATTCACAGCGGAATCACTAGATTGTCAAGACTCGTTCGAATATTTAAGTGTCGTGAACGTTCTCCGATTGATCAGAACCGAGTGCGCGACAGAATGGAACGTTCGTACCGTTCATATGTAAATATAGACGAATGTCATTCGATTTTATTGAAATTTTGTACATATAATCAAAATTGAATGCACTTTCTACAATTCAAGCGAAAATTGAGCAAGAATCGCGCAAGAGGAATTGCTCGCGTCACCGACCGATCGATCGGATCAACGGGTTCAAACTGTACTCGCGTGAACGTTGAACGTTGCCAATAAACAAAAAAAAATCAGAAAAGTTCAACGAAAACATCCGTGTTTCGAGGGGAAAACGGATGAAGCCACGTTTACTTAACCGTGTAACGTCTCAAAAATTCTGTCGCGAACACACGAACTAATCGGAGCCTCGCATGGACCATGGCTGATTTTCGTTTATCCAAGACCGAGGATCGCGGAGATCGAAATAGAGATCGATATCGGGTAGTTGTCGCGAAATTTTAGAAGCGAGGAACGCTTTATCGTCCGGGCACAATAGCTACGCGAAGTTTTTCGAACAAAAGAAGTTCGTCGCATGAGTTCTTCAGCTTCCCAAAGGAAGCGC